GCGGCCATCGTTGGAGCTTGAAAGGAAGAAGAGAGAGAGTAATGGTAGTAGACTGAGAGATCTCTGAATAGGAGAAGATTCACACGAGAAGGACAAGTGAGAGAGATTCCGCCATGAAAGATTGAGAGATGTGACAAAGGCGTGAGTAAGAGAGTGAATATTCATATTGAAACCGCATTAAAATTATGATTTTGTACTACATTTATATGCGAGATTTAACAGATATTGACGCAATTATCTAGTGAGGGATGGTTTCCTTAATCTTTTTTCTTTTCTGAATATCATTAACCTTCTTTTTATCTTAATATACTCAATATTCACTTATGATAGTCCATTTTCAACAATTGGAGATATTACATTCTAACACAACCTCATAAACATTAAAGATGAAAGGCAAATTTATCAATTTTATTAGCACAAGTGATACCTTTGAAACAAAAACTTGGACACAAAATGTCGGCCATATGGACACTTGAGCTGTTGTAACAACTTTGAAACTTTTTCATTACTTCATCTTGTTGGTGAATCAGTATAAAGTAATGACCACTATAATTGATATGAGATTATATATCAGGTTTGTGATTTCTTGGGACTAAAGCAGCTTGAGGATGCCCTAACGTGTATGAATCTTCTGATCATACCTTTTGGTGTACCGAGGAAACTAGGGATGACTTGTGATGATCTGTTTAAAATTAATATTGGGATTGTTAACTTAAGACATTATGTGAAGGTGTAGCGAAATGTTGTCTGAATGCTATTGTTAACTTGATTAGTAATCCTGTGAACTCTACTATCCCCATTGTTGCTAAGGTTTTCAAGAAATCTGAGTTAAATTTTGAAAAGACTTTCAAAAGAAATATTTACTCTTTTCTTCTTTCATTCTTTAACTAGTATGAAGTCCCGTGCATGAACAACGCATATGTTAACTTTGCTTTAAAAAAATGAAATAACATAGTAAACAAACATGGAGTAAGTTTAAGGCTGATGGTGATGAAGTTTCTATTCTTTAGTGTTCTGCTTTGACTAACAAATTTCTTGTTATGACAGATATGCAATGGATTCACCATGTTGAACAATCCTTTGGCTCTGCGTGAGCCCTGTGCTAATCAGCTCAATGATGGGTTGCCTCCGTCTGGTAGTTGTGGCCTGGAAATAGACCGTCTTGTTATGCTCCTTAGTGAGAAACTCAACATCAAGGTCACTCTCTTACCAGAAAGGTTGTTTTAACTGTGAATAATTCAATTTTTATTCATCTTTACCAAACTATATTATTGTAGGATGTTTATCCCTGCCAGCTGATGAAGCCACAAGACAAGCCAGTATCCCCCCTTGACCAGAGCTATTATTGACTACATCTGCAGTTTCCTGGAATATAAACAATTCAAAGAGGTTATATGTTTCTCATTTTCTTACCAAAAATATTCCAACGCTAGTGTTTCTTTCCCTTGTTTGTGATATATTTCAAATTTTATGTAGATTGAGGAATGTTTGTTGAATGATGGAGCACTTGATCTCTTTCTGAAGCAAATTCTTCAAGGGTTTGGTATGGAAGCCGCTGCTGGTGGAACTCTTTTTAGCCGTGTTTATAAGATATTCAGACACGAGGGTGTTGAGTTCTCCACTTGCGAGTTCTACATGGCATATTCGGATTACCAACAGTTAATGAAACTGACCGAGGATATGGTGAGTGGCATTAAGCCTCGGCGTGGATCGGATATCCGAAAAAGATACAGTATTTGTGATTCGATTTGTTTTTTACGGATATCTAATTTTTCGATTTGCTTTGCTTCGCTTCGGAAAATTTCGAATATCCGAGATTACGAATATTCAGATTTTTTCGGGATATTTGTGGATATCCGGATCTTCACGGATATCTGTTTTAAACAAAAAAAAAATTAAAACACCATAATCTTTTTTCAAAACAAAAATTTTAATATAAGATTTAAACTAATTAATGAATAAATATATGAAATAGGTCTAATTTTATTGATAGAATTAAA